AGCCTATGGTGCTAGAGACCTGCATTAATTTTGGTTTTAGGCACATCAATGCAATATATCATGCGACTAATCATGTATAGAGTGCCTTCAATGTTACCCTGAGCCTTCATCACTGCCCCCTTGGTCACTTTCCATGAGTTGCCTATAAAAGTAATCATGTACCTTGACTTTGTTAGCCTGCTCACATTGATGACATTTCTCTTGAGGCTTAAAACATGTCTAACTTTTATATGCTTCCATATTACTTCATTTGGCAACTTAATATCAATACTACTCTTTCTGACAATATTGTAGGTCATATTGTCTCCCAGATAAACATTCTCTATATCACTCTGAGTGTAATTTGTGAATACATCTTTATTAGAGCATGCTTGAAAGCAGGCATACAACTCTACTATCCAAGATTAGTGCTGACTAGGGATAAAGTCAGAGAGTCACCTTGGATTTTGAATATGGAGGCATTTGTGGAGAGATTCCTTTTTGTCCTCTGCCACCAACTCTCTTTGAACATTTGTGGTCCTTCCTAAATTGCCCTTTATTTCCACAATATCAGAATTTTCCTATGTATTTTCCTTTGATTGACGTGGACTTTCCTCTTCTAGAATTGGATTTGTCTCTACATGTATTCCTATCCAAACTTTTTCTTCATGGAACCTGAAGATTCATCATTCGTTGCCTAACTACAAACTTCATTCAGCACCAATCTCATGATGTCATCAAAGTTTAAATTCATATTTTCTAAAAAGTTACTCACCGTCGTGACTAATACATCTCAGTTGTCTGACAAAGAAGATAGAATTGGTAGTGTCCTGACTTCATTATTAAAATTGATCCCCACATAACACAACTCACTAGTTATGGTGTTGAAACTTTTCAGGTGTTCAACCGCCAAACTGTCTTTCGTCATCTTGAAGTTGAATAACCTCTTCATCATAAATCTTATTTGAAGCAAGTTTTTTGTACATCCTTGCAAGTGTTATCTTGAGATTCACTGTAATTTTTTGATTCATGATGTTGAATGCAACACACGAATAAAGTGAAAGGCAAATCAAACCTAGGGTTAATTGATCAAGCACCTCCCATTCTTTCATAGTCATTGTCTCGAACCTCTTGGTGAATCCTCGTATTGGCACATACAGTTTTTTTATACAGTAAATAATCCACTCACATCCTTCTGAATGCAAAGTTGAACCCATTGAAACACTTTGTACATTGCTTCGCCACTCATTACTCTCACTCGAATCAAAGAGCTTCCACCTCGATACCACTTGTTATAATGGAAAAATAAATCATGGGCTTCGATCAATCAAAAATCAAACACCAGTGTGGAATAGGATCAAACCAATTTGAGAAATTTGGAAGATTAAAAATTGAATAGAAGCACAACAAAACAATCTTAGAAAAGCACGCCAAGATTTGCATAAAAAAACTTGAGAACAGAAAAAAATCACAAAGTCGCACCACCAAAAATATCCACAACAAGAAAATAGAATTGTACAGAGATACACCCTCAAATCAACTCTCTACAAGCACAGAACCTACAAATCTTCATTCCAAACCTTCCTCTTGATCTCATAAGGGAGCCCTCACTCTGAAATTACCCTTTTAACAATTCATCTTCACGAGAGAACCGGTTGAGAAACAACGCACGTGAGAGTGCTTCTCACGTCATTCCTATCAAAGACTTAAAACTAAATCATAAGAGAGAACTACCACATGCGTGTTTGCACCACTCTTGGCAATTGAGTGACGCGCATCTATGGAACCAGGCGCAAAGAAGTCCCAAAAATGATATGGGGGCCCCGCGAACCCCGGTGCAGGTGCGCCCCATATGGGCACGACCTCTGTCTCCAAGAACATGGGTACCATTCACGCACAGGTGCGTCGTGCCAGAAACACCTACTATTAGATGCGCCCAACTACTGCTAATCAAGCTCAATACACAACAATGTAAATACATAAGAATTGACCGATATATGTAGCGAAATTTTTAATTTTATTTTTTTATAAGTGAACAGTGATTTAAAATTAGAAGTATTATATGAATGAATATAAAAAAATAGTTGACATTAAACACATGAGCATATAAGAATAACGTGGTCTGCTACGTATATAAATTTTCTTATTTTTAAAATATTATATAATAAAAATATACCTCTAAATATCTAACCTTTTGTTTGTTAAGGAAATGGGCAATTGCCGCGTTGACCAAACGACCAGCACGGGACAGCTAAGGGAGGTTTATCTACAACTATAGATGATGGTCATCTCTGATATCTAACATTTGTTTTATGAATAAATTAACGTTGGTTTTGAATTTTGAGGTTATTTGGTGGCCGGCTTTGAAGGTCCAATGGAAATTATATTTTATGGGATGTGTGGATCATGCGTAAGGCATGAGTCATGAAGTGACTTGTACTAGGAGAACATATGGCATACGTAGGGGGTTTTCTATAAGCGGTTAATTTGACCAATTTTATAAAGATTTTGGAAACTTTACATACATACCACATAATTCTTAGGTTTATATAACTAACACTTTTGAAATTTGATATTTACACTTTTAACACTTTGATACTATAAACATAAATATATGAAAAGATGTGTCTTTTTTAAAAAGATAATGATTGTGATATTAAATATTTGATAAATATGAATCTATTGAAGTTAGATATCTTAATACATAAAATTTGTGTGGTATGTATATAGATGCCCCTATTTAACTAGTATCTCAATTTTAAATTTACTTGCACAATATAGATTTCTACATCGCATCAAAAATATCACTAATACTAACTTAATTAAGAAAAATGCCCATCTTCATTGTACAATTTGATTGATTGATCCAAGAAGAAAGATTTTTATTTAAATACAAATGTTTAGGCGTTAGATATGTAATAAATAAGATTTCAGAGATACTTATAACATGAGTGGTTGAGACAGAACTTGGTCCGTCGTTGTCTTGATGGCCTACTGAAGTATTGCCTTCAAGGCTTGTTCCAAAACTATCTTCATAGCCTCATCCAACACTGAAAAAATATATAGGGTGGTGTCACTTGTTAAGTGGGCCTCATAACTTTTAACAATGATCAATCTCAGTATATTGCAATATGAGCACTTGACACGTGGCGCCCCACCATTGGACTCCAGACGTAAATTATGTTCACGATCTGGATATAATATTTGCTCCCAACACACGCTTCTCATGTGCTATTAGTGGCATTATCAACTACAATTCCCTTACAGGTACCCTAAGAATAGCCTCGTTGCCCAGCCAAGTTCAGTGGCAACTACAATTTAAGGATTATGATAAATATGTATAATAATTCTGAATTCGAAATATCACTATTTTACAATTTATATTAGGGTATATATATATATATATATATATA